CCTGGGTGCCCGAATGGTCAGGCCGCCCCTAGTGGTGTATTTAGGTTTTGTGCTGCCCTAGGCAACACAAAAATTGCCCCCCCAACAGAGACACCCTGACACAGACTAACACCACTCTCCCACACAAAGAGAGCCTGACATTGACCAACAACACCCCCACCACTACCACCTCGCCCCATACACTGGCAACCCCCCCCCCCACCCCTGCGAGAGAAAAGACACACAGCTCTGGACATCCCCGGGAACAAGAGTCGGGCTCTGCATACACCATCAAGCAGCCCGTAGCCTCTCTCAGAACCCACCTGGTCCTCATGCTGCGTGTGTCCCTTCTTCCATCCCTTCTTTTGTTGGTCGGCACTGCCCCCCTGAAAAATGCCACTGCCCCCCTAAAAAATGCTGCCCTAGGCAAATGCCTTGTGGTAAATATGCCCCTGTGTTTTGGGGCAGTTGATTTTAGCAGCCAGTGTGCATGATCCCTAATTAGGAACAGGAAGGTAAAGATACTGATAAACAATGAAACGGGAATGACCCCATAAGGGATGGAATGTTTCTTTGTGTAGATATTTCAGAGGACAGAGTCTCCTGAAAAACACCCACAGACATATAATGGCCATTAGCACTTTTAGGATCTGTTCCGTCTGTAAGCCAATGAGATTTGTGAAGGATTTCTGTTCTTAAAGATATGTCTAGCTCGAGTTCTGTGGTCAGAAAGCAAAACAGTATAGATTTCCAGTTACAAGCGGGCTTTTATTATTTTATGTTTCATATTTAGAAATGGTTGACATCAAAGCTTTTAGTGGTTAAAGTCAAAGGGACCAGAGTATTACTGCCTCAGAAATCCTGAATTCAGCCATGGCATTATTTATACACTATAACCTTTCCATGTACCCTTTGTGGGGTGTTTTTTTCTTGTTGTGGGTTATAAATACACAATTAAAATTAGATGTGTATCTCATGCTGCAATATTATGGATACATTATTACATTCTGTATAAATGTAATTTATTTTTTAAATATGTTGTCTGCAACCATCACAGCTAAATTTCACTTTGCAGAAAAGAAAGGTTGTTAAAATCTCTATGGCGTGCTAGGTGTAAACAACAAACTCATAAGGATTACTGCAGACTATGGAAGCACATCGCCATAACCATTCTGCTTTAGAGGATTGAGCTGACTACTCTGAGGGCTTTTGTCGTGATTTCAGTGACTTAACTGATTGACAAGAAGTCTCAAAAATACTGAATATAACTGTATAGCAACACATAATAAATAAAAGAACACTTGTGTGCAAAATTCAAAACAAAAACCTGGATTTATTTTGTACTGTTGCTAGTGACGCATCCCTAAATTGCATAAGCCAATATGCTCATGTTATCATAGTACAGTTTTACTTAAAGTGAAGCTTTAGCCAGAAAATTAAGTCCTGTTAGATCACTTCAGACTGGCTCCTTGTGCAGGTATAGCTGTGCAAAACATCAAGAATAAGTGCCTATACTGTTTAAAATCCAGTAATACACTGTCTCACCCTGTTCTGCACATGCTCAGTCGCTCTCTATTGTTAGGCACTATGTGGAAAATGCAGAGGCTGATCTGCTGACAGCATAAAGATTTACTGCTGCTCAGGGGCTCTGGGCTTCAGCAAAATGGCACCCTCCAGCAAGAAGAAACAGGAGCAATTCTGGAGACAATTTACAGCACACATTAATTTTGGTAGCGTAATTATTAATTTGGAATGTATATTCCTTGCTATAGAATAATATTTTTTATTAGGCTGTTCTGGGTAAAGTTCCACTTTAAAGGTGTAATTTAACTTTTTTTTCACCATTTGTATCCAAATAACTTATAGATTTAAAGCATAAAGTGAATCTATTTCCAAGACATTTTTTAGTGTTGCATAGAGTTGAGTAGAATAAGAACAGCTTTTACTGCAGCCAGAAGCTTCATTAGAGAGATTCCCTCATTTCTTGTCTGGTAAAAAAGGTTGCCCCCAGGACAGGAAGTGAGGGAAAATCTTTCTAATATCAACACAGGCAAAAGTAAAAATGTACTTTTAGAATGTAAGTAAGGCAAAACTTTTTTTTTTACATTTTGCCCAGAGTGAGAGAGGATTATAACCCCAGTTAGTTTTTTTGCCATCTCTTACCCATAGGAGAGAATTCTCTTCATTGCCTGTCTCAGTCAAAACAGGAAATGAGATTAAATCCCTCCAAATTATGGGAAACCTGGTATGCCACCAGAACTAGTATCACCGTTGGAAGATTTCCACTCTATTTGTGTTTTGATATCAACCAAAATTTGATATTTTTACTTTCACTTTTGATGACAATGGTAAACAGGACAAATAGAGAGGGTGAATATCCCTAATGGGGACACAGACAGAGACAGGGGTTGTAATCATTCTCCACTATTCAAACCTAGAAAAAACGTTTTGTCTTTAGTTACACTTTTCAAACCGTATTAAACCAAAAATGTCTTAGATGTGGTGGCTGCATTCGTTTTCCCTCTGTTTTCATCTGGCGATATGGCCACTAACACACCTCCTGTATTAGAGTGCTCCTGCTCCTGGATGAAAAAGCACAGGGGCACAACAGACAGCAGCATTGTTAATCTGGGGGGAGGGGAGTTTTAGGTGTATTAGCAGATTTAGACACACTAACAAAGCCAAACTGCAGCCCACACTCCAGTTACACAAGCAGATACAGAAATAGTTTTTTTGCTTTTGGGATAAAGGTTTTACATGAATGAATGAATAAAAGCTGATAGTGGTAAATTGTTTGTCTCAACTTGCTTAACTGATACATTTGTAGGAGAGTTTCTTCTGTTGAAAAACCAGAAGGCCAGATCACCAAGTGAAAAAAGAAAGAAAGAAAGTCTAAAAAATAAAACTAATGCAGCCATCATATATGGTAAGCTGCAATATAATTACATGCTTGATTTAGGGTTTACTATCAATTTAGGATGAGTAGAGAAAATGCTAGAACCTCTGAAATTTGTTATTGTTCTCTGCTTCCCTGTTGCAGATGTTCATGTTTTGTAAAAGGTTGCCCCCAAAAGAGAAAGTGAAGGGAAATCTCTCATATGGAGCCCTAGATTGTAAGCTCTAATGAGCAGGGCCCTCTGAATCCTACTTTATTAATTTGTATTGTAATTGTACTGTCTGCCCTTATGTTGTAAAGCACAGCATAAAACTGTTGGTGCTATAAAATCCTGTATAATAATAATAGTACTAGATAGCAGTAAAACCTGACAGGGGTTCTAACTTTTACCATTAAAACAAGATGTTTTGGGTATAGATACACAAAGGGGTCTAAGGATCCATGTACACTGCAGCTGATAAACTCAAGTTTAGGAGCTTTTATGCCTTTTTTTCAGCAGCCCCTGAACTCTCTCTAATGTTTTCCTATGTGTCCATGTACACCATGTCATTTACAATCATTTACAGGCAGTTGAGTTTACAGTCATTTTTTTTAACTCACCAAACTTGCGTTCAGGAGTAGATTGTATCAGCATTTAAAATGCTTGTAAATGCGGCTAACCGCGTTTATATGAGTTTGGAAATTTGTTTTAACTTTTCCATTGCCAGATGCTGTCCAGAGCCTTTTTTCATCATGAAAAATGCATGTAAAGCCTTTTCCCCGGTACTCAAATGGACCTGGTACACCATACTTTGAGGTTTCACATAAAAGAAAATATGTTAGATACTGCTGCAATAATTTCTGCACAGAAATGAGCTGGAACACATCCAAACACCACAAAAAAAAAAAAGACAGCTAATCTCAACAAATACTGCTCTCTCTGCTTCTGCTCTCTCTATTTCTCTCAAAATGTCTGAAATAGTTAATTTTTTACTGTTTTTTCAGTGCATTTTGGAAGGTCTCCTGAGGTTATCTTCAAAAAACGCTTCTAAATGCGAATGCTCATAAACGCGCATAAACGCAGTATGCAAACGCAGCTAAACAGATGTTTTTTATCCAACATTTTCCAGCAGTCAGTTTCCATCGTTCAGAAGTGTTTTCCAAAACTCCTGTGTACATGGAGTCTAACTATAAAGTGTTCATTGTGTGGAAATGCACAGAACAAAATTGCAGTGCTCCCTCTCTTATGTTTGGTTCCTATATCATCAACGCCATCTAGTAGCCACAATGCCTTTTGTTTCCTGATCAAGCTATTTTTAGTTCATCCCCACAACAAATGTTTTATACATACCGTATTTTTCGCTCCATAAGATGCACTTTTTCCCCCCAAAAAAGGGGGGAAATTGTCAGTGCGTCTTATGGAGCAAATATGGAGCGGCTGGTCCGGTTTTTTCCACCGCCGCCGTGTCAGAATACCGGGCCGGCCGCTCAGCTCTGCAGTGGGACCTTACCTGTTCCTCTATCCAGCGGCGCGCTGTCTTCCTGGCTTCTGTAGTGTGCGTGACAGCCGGGTCCCAAGTGCACATGCGCAAGAAGCGGTGCTCGTTGTGAATGGTACCTGGGATACATGACAGATCCCAGAAGCCGCCGGACCAATCACAAAGCGCAGCGCTTCTCGCTCATGCGCACTGGGCATCCGGCTGTCCGCCGAGCGCCCACACTACAGAAGCCGGGAAGACAGCGCGAGGCAGGATAGAGGAACAGGTAAGATCAAAGAACAACTCCGCGGAAGTAAGAGCGGGTACCTGTCAAATTCAGATACCCACTCCCCCCCCCCTCCCCAAAGGTCAGCAGTCATCTCCTGTACTGTCCACAGTCTCTGGTCATCCCTGTACTGTCCGCAGTCTCTGGTCATCCCTGTACTGTCCGCAGTCTCTGGTCATCCCTGTACTGTCCGCAGTCTCTGGTCATCCCTGTACTGTCCGCAGTCTCTGGTCATCCCCTGTACTGTCCGCAGTCTCTGGTCATCCCCTTCACTGTCCGCAGTCTCTGGTCATCCCTGTACTGTCCGCAGTCTCTGGTCACCCCCTGTACTGTCCACAGTCTCTGGTCATCCCCTGTACTGTCCACAGTCTCTGCGTCTCCTTGTACTATCTGCAGTCTCTGGTCATCTCCTGTACTGTGTTCGCAGTCTCTGGTCATCTCCTGTACTATGTCCACAGTCTCTGGTCATCGCCTGCACTGTCCGCAGTCTCTGGTCATCCCTGTACTGTCCGCAGTCTCTGGTCATCCCCTGTACTGTCTGCAGTCTCTGGTCATCCCCTGTACTGTCCGCAGTCTCTGGTTATCCCCTGTACTGTCTGCAGTCTCTGCGACTCCTTGTACTGTCTGCAGTCTCTGGTCATCTCCTGTACTATGTCCGCAGTCTCTGGTCATCTCCTGTACTGTGTTCGCAGTCTCTGGTCATCTCCTGTACTATGTCCGCAGTCTCTAGTCATCTCCTGTACTGTGTCTGCAGTCTCTGGTCATCTCCTGTACTATGTCTGCAGTCCATTAGTTCAGATTTTTTTTTTCCTGTTTTCTGCCTCTAAAACCTAGGTGTGTCTTATGGTCAGGTGCGTCTTATGGAGCAAAAAATACGGTAATCCCCTTAATATACAGGCAAATAGCTAAATACACATTACATACATTTATGGCATGCTTTTTTTTACCTGCTGAAGGATTTTTATTTTTGTTCATTCATTCATCTACAGAACACCTCCCTCTATGTTATGGAGATAAGGAGAGGGGGAAGAATCCTGTAATCCTAACAAACCTTCAACCCTAGGTCTGCATAATTTTGACTTTCAAAGGATGTTAAATTATTTTTATCTCTAATTTTGTGCTGCTTTGACTTAACAAATTTGAATAGACTAACACATTTAATATCTTGATTAGAAAAAAAGCAATGGTTTCTAACTCTCTGATTGCCATACTTTTTTATATATATTGTTTTTAGACCAAGCTATTATGATTTACATACATTAAAACCCTGGTGTTGAACCTGTGGCTGGAGGGGTACATGTGACCCTTCAATAGACCCCAGTAGTTGTTAATGGATATGGAAGCATTAAGCTGTAAAGAGCCTGTACTGGCAGTGATCTCTAGAAGGCTTGTGTAACATGTCACCAACCACACACATCTCCTGTAGTATGTCTGCCATCTCTAACAGTGGTACGTAGCAGCTTACCGCAATATTATGTTGAGGTCCCCAAAGTTAGTAAGTTGGCCATCACTGTCTTCAAACATTACACATTTTTCTTTAATAGAATTTAGAAAGTGGTTCTATGGACCAAATAGCTCCATATTTTATCAGTTTTTTACTGCTTGTTTTTGTTGTTTCATGTTCTGGATGGTATCTGCTTTTATGATGTCTAACTAATGGGTTCCGTGATGGCCTAGCCTTCTCCATTTAGTCTGATTGCATTATATGTCTGAAATAAATTAGTCTACGTTTGCCATCCAGTGAAAAATTTTGTTTCATGCTCTTCGGTATTTACTTGTTTGTTATCTTTGCTGTTCATGGAACATGGAGGAGTCTTTTCCAGCACCAAAACTGAAAAAAGTTGATTTTCCTTCTGTCTTGGTTTTGTCATTAGCCAACTTTCACAACCATTGGTCATAAGGCTCCACAACAGTGTGGGCTTATTTGATTTGCCTTGATTGCCAGTCTAACAGCTTGCTTTTTCATATTCAACTTATGCTTATCATTGCTGTGTAAGTGCAAGGCAATGCTTTATTTTTGGACTACAATAACCACTTTGATCAATCAGTAAACCCAGGAAAGTGAAATCATCCACTTATTATACAGGGTGAGCACAAAAACACTCCTTGATTTCAAGTAGTTATAAAATCAATGCTTATTGGCGTATGTTTCAAATATGGTGACCCCCAGATCCATTAACAGTAAGCAAGATCTTACACAAACACTTGTGGTTTGACATTTACAAGCTGCAATTGGTCAATAAGTTACACCTGTAAGACAATGAAACATGACTTGAATTTTGCAGGAATCTGTCAAAGCTGTCAAAGACCATTTTCAGTAATGAGGTGACCTTCCACTTAAGTAGAAAGGTCAACAGACACAATGTGAGGATATAGGGGAGTGAGAATCCGCATGCTACCCTGGAAGTTGAATGAGACGCTCCAAAAACTGTTTTGTACCGTAACAGAGTGGACTGTGTATGGCCCATTTTTCTTTGAGGGAAAAACTATTACTGGTCAGAGTTACAAACTGATACCAAATAAAACTTTATGAGTTGATGCAACTGTAGCCACCAATGTGTAAGAATATTTTAATATAGTTACATTCTATATCTGTTGGAAATCAAGGACTGTTTTTGTGCTCATTCTGTATATTTGTGTAAATCTGAAATGCTAGTACATAATTACTAAAACATTATATGTTGTTCTAAAGCTACTTCTTGTTAACCTATAATTAAAATAAAATAAAGAAGTCTAAAATACCCAGCACTTTTCCTGTTACATTTGTTGCCTAAGGCCCGTGTATTTGTGAATACACCCCAATCCCTGTAGGAGTATTTACATGTACATAGCTAAATCTGAGAATTCTTATACAGAAGGGGTGGTTCCATCTGCAATATACATTTATTGATAGAGTTACATAATATATACAAATTACACGCTAAGCAGCATTTACAACACAATGTACAGTTTAAGTCCCTTGACTTCTACGATATGTACAAATTACCCACAAAATCCTATTTACAATACAATCCCAGTACAAGTATGAAGTTAGTTTACCTCTCAACTACAGGTCAGGTGCTGCCTGCTGTGTGTCCCAACACAAAGAGAGACCCACAGCTTGGTGACAAAGTACTATATTCCCCCCTTCTTTCTGTACTGTGGCTAATATAATGCTCCCTAATTGGTCACTGTACCTAGCAAATGTATATCGGCCACAGCCTGGTTGGAAGGCTGCTGTTTACTCCTCATGTGAGATGTGATAAAGGGACAACAAAAGACCAGGACGTATATAGTGAAAAACTATATACATTTACACCAGTATGGAAGCTAGGAATAGTTTGATGCTGCAAAACACTCAATGGTTTAAATACTGTATATTTCCATCTAACAAAAATATACTTGTAATTATAACATTATTTACATCTGTTAATGGAGATTTCACATAAACTCATTATCTAACGCATTACATCAACTGTATTGGAGCCCTACAATCATCACTGCTATACTGTACTCAGCTCTAAAGTTTTGCTAATATAAATGCTTAACCCCTTCCCGCCGATGCTTCCCGGCCCTTTAAGAGATTCAGACGCCGGGAGGCGGGGCGGTTGGGGCGTGGTTTAGGAATCATGTGACCGCCGTGATGACGCGTCACGGCGGTCACATGATCGGGAAAGGTCCCGTTCGAAAGAGCGGACCGGGACCTTTCCGTGAGTACCACACATGTGTGCTGGGAGCGCGCAGGGCGCGCGCTCTCAGCACATATGTATTTAGTTACATGGACGCAAATGTGCGGCCGCTCGGCGTCTAGGTCCAGACGCCGGGAGGCCGCACATTTTGTGTGCGGCCGGCGCAAAGGGGTTAAAGTAAGATTTAAAATGTTATTGGCCAGCAGATTTCTTCACATCCCTAAGCTTTGCTTTGAGTTGGTCATAGGGTTGTATTCCGTAACAGGGGACAAACATTTTAGGATTTTACTTTTTTTTATAGACTCATGGTTCTCTACTTATGCATAGTCAGCATAATTCCTTTGATGAGATAAATTTAGTCAGATGTACATTCATCCTTAAAAAGTGGAGTTTTCTCCAAGAAACACATTGGTTGAATATTGATGTTTGCAAAACTTATTTACAGTACAAAAGGATATTTCCAGTTATGTGAAAAAGTAATTATACCCAATAAAAGTGCTTGCCTTTTTACCCTATTTTAATAGGAAAACAATAAATCTTTATTCAGATAGCACCTACAGATACGTGTAATGTAGCTGTATAAAAACACAAGTAAAAATTACCTTTTCAAAAATATATTTAATAAAAACACCATTATATGCAACAATACTGTAGAAAAAGCAAGTAGACTCTTGGCTTTAGATGCTGGTACTGCTTCCTTTAGCAGAAAGTACATTGTAAGTGTTTTGTGCTATTGGCCACCATTTTTGATATTGACTTTAAAAAATGTTTACCCACTCCTTCATGCAAAATTCCTCCAGTTGCACAATGTTTGTGGGTTTTCTTGCATGTGCTGCCCATTTCAATTTCTTCTCATCAAATGCAGTTTGCACCAAAAATGTCTATTGTAATTATGGCTAAACAATGCTATCTCTTATTTATTAATCCACATCACATTGTTCCAGAAGGCCTTGTCTTTGCCTTTATGTTCAATGGCAAACTGTAATTTTGTCTTTTTGGACAGCAAAGGCTTTTTGCCATCCATCTATGCAAGTTAAATTGGTGCAATATCTTTCTGTAGGTGCATGTCCTTTGATACCATGTGTTTTAAGAGTTGTATGCTAATCCTGCAATTGAATTTTGGTGTTCTTAGAGACTTCTTTTGATATCAAATTCTTAGATCTTGGGCTGAAATTGCTGGGTCAGCCATTGCTACACAAATTAGTAGATCTTTTAAATCTACACTTGTAAATTATTATCCTTGCAGTATATGTGGAAAATCAATTTGAAACAATTTCCAATCTTTTTAAATCCATTGCCAGATTCATAAGCAGACACAATCTTCTTTCTCTGAGGGCCTTAGAGGGCTCTATTGATTACACACATTAAAAGGAAAAAGAACTTCAGACCTGCATACTCCCTAAAGAGGTTCTAATCATCAGCACCTTCTGTACTCTGGAACATTTGATTGCTAATTTTTGTGGATTGAAAATGGTGTTAACTGTAGGATTATATTTATGTTTCCGTGTGACGAATCTGAGAGTGACTAAACCATGTCAATGAATACACCATGTACCATTTGTTCAAATATATCACCTTTATCTGTAGGAATTGTTTGAAAGCTATAATGTTTGCCAATTAAATTACATAGAAAACAAATCAACAATTTTCATGAGGTAAACGTTCTTTTTCACATGACTGTAGATACTTTTTAAAAAATATATATATATGTACTAAGTATCTCTTCATTAACTGTACTAAGCATATTCACTATGCTCATAATACTGAATGATGCATATGTTCGAACTCACTCTTCTTTTTAACAAACATCTGTGAGCTCTGTTATTAAACTGTAGGGGTAGAATCTATGTAGAAAGTAGTACAATGATTTTAATTGTATATTGGTATCTGTTGATTTTTCCATTCATGTCACAAATATTCTTCCTTTTTTCCCTTTTGTTGAATAAATTATGGGATGTCATGTGAGATGGTGAAATGCTCCCTCTGACCACTACTTGCTTTTTCATTGCTTTGTTTGCATATAAT